TGAAGGATTCAACAAAGCATTATCTATAATTATTCCAGTGCTTTTCTTCCTTTCTTGAAACTCCCATATTTGGTAGCTTGTTTGTCTATCTTGAGAGGATTTATTTTCATCCTTTGCCTTGAACTTTAATCCTTTCCAATCTTTGGATTGGCTTTTTTCTTTTTAATTGCACTCTTTAGTGAGATCACTACTATCTATTTACCCAAGGTTTCTTGATTAGCTAACAAATGATTTAGAGCTTCCAACGGTGGCTGAATTAGCCGTCTTTGAACAGCTGCAATAAATCAATGATATTCGAGTCTTAACCATGAATGATAATTCTTCTCTTTCGAGATTCACTAATTGCACTTTGAGAATCTAGTTTTGAGATTTCATTGCAAAGACACATTCTTGGAGAGATATTAATTTATTTGTCATGTTGCCTTGTTTTAATAACATTCAATTCATTCTCTAAGAATTGAAGTCGCATCTCATTTTTCTTTGGAAGCCCAAATATCTCACGCCTCCTTTAGCCTTTTTTATCTTTCATATATTTTAAAATGTTGTCTTCAATAGAAACTTTTATGATGCATAGGGTCTTACCAGCTTTTGCTTTCCATTTTGACACCATGGCTTTTGATGCTTCATTTTCTGTTGCTTCAGGTGGTATAATGTCATTTCCGCTAACAATGTCCCACAATTTTTTGCCTTCCAAGTAAGACCTCATAATAGTTTGCCAAAGATTATAATTATGATCATTTGAGCTTTTTAATTGAGCCCATAAGTTGGAAATCCACCATCGTGATTTGATAAGCTCCTCATTTTATTAATTAAAGCTTCTCATTTGAGCTTTTTCTGTTGCTTGGTCTCAAACCAATCAGCACTGTAGACTTGTACATGAACAACAGTTCTCTTAGCGTGAAAACTGTAATCTCGAATTGCCCTGGCTATTGATCACAAATACTAGTCCCTAACCAACTGGGCTCTTAATAATAGACTGAGAAGGTCTTTTCTAATGTGAAAGATTAGTCAAAGTTACAATTAGAGAGCATACTCAAATACTTATATTAGTTCTAGTACCAGATTGATAAATTTGAGGAGACAAAAAATTAAACTCAATTGAAAATAATTTTTTATTTGTGAGGACTAAATAGTAGTTTACATATATAAAAGGATTAAATTGAAATTTTATAAAAAATTTATACGCGATACTTATTTTTCCTCGCTGACTCTCAATCATACTCGTATAGACACAATTTCTTTCTCAATCACACAAATTCTTCTCCTTTCACTCTCTCTTCACATTACTACACACCTTAATTACCATACTACACACTAAACATTGGCCATATTTATAGGTGCAGTAAGAATAATCTCTATTATAAGTTTTAGTCAATAATTACAAAGATTTTTCCAGAGGAATATTATTAATAGATATTTGTAAATTTTTCTAAAATAAGGGAGATATTTTATAGAGTAATAAATGTTCTTATGAAACAACTTAGATATTTTGTAAAGAAATGGAGTTTTCTAGATAGTCGATGATGACTCTTTATAATATTCAAACATGTATCATAATTTGGCTAATAAGATTTTATCGGATTTCAATCACTCGATATAGATATGTCTATTTATCAGTATATTTGAACACGATCGAAAGATTAAATTATTTTTCAGACACTTTTATATGCCACGTAACTAGTATGTGCATTCATTATAAATGAAAAAAATAATCGAATGAATTAAGTAATGTAAATGATAATAGAACCAAAAGACTATATATATATGGTTCAATTCTGAAAATAAAAGCTCGAACTAGTATATAGTTAAGAGACTAAATAATAATTCGCTTTAACTATATATATGAAAAAATTCTTTAAACTAAATAATACAAAAAGAATATTAGATTAGTTCAAGAATTGGAGTTACTATTAAATGTCAAAAAAAAAAAGAATTGGAGTTACTAATTCAAGTAAACCAAACCAGTTGAAGAAGTAGGAGTACAATTTGATTTGGTATATTTTATTTTTAAACCGAAATTTTAATTTGAAATAGAATTTCGAGACATGGGATTCAAAATGCAATATAATTTTTTAGAAATTTGTATATAAAATAGGGAATGTAATTGAAAAAAATATATATATATTACAATTTATTTCCCAAACTTTTATTTTAAAATTTTTATTTATATTTCAAATATATTAAATATAAATATTTTTCAGGGAACAACAATCCTATTATACGTAACACCCTTATTGTTTAGTTAGATAATTCATACATTATAACAATTTACTTATTTTAGTCTATTATTATGTTGGGATTGTATGATTGTCTTATTTGGTAATTCATTACTTTTTAGACTATGATTTTAATTCTATTAATTTGGGATTTAGATTTGTAGTATTTCCTTTACTGAAGGCTGAATTATTAACTTTTTTTATTTTTTTTATATTTTTTAAATTGCGATTTAAATTATATTTATGCATTTGGATTTAAGATTTTTTCTTTTGTCAATAATTAAATTATCGTTTTAATATTTTTTACATTTCGTTTAAATAAATAAAATGACTAATCAATGAGTTTGAAAATTTTTAAAGGTAAAAAATTTTGAATTCTAAAATTTTAAACTGAATATTAATGGAATAAAATTTTCCATTAAAAAAAATAGAATGGAACGCAATGTTTTAAATTCTAAAATATTTTTTAGAATGGAATTGGAAGAATCTCAAATTGGAAAATATATGAACTAAGCTATTAGCTCAATAATCTAAATGTTTGATAGTTTCTTTAAATATTTTTATATAAAAATTTAATAAAAGAAAACTTTATAACGTCTAGATGATGTTCTTTGCCTTTTTCTATATTAATCTCAAATTTCTACTTTATTGGAGAAAAAACACTAGGAAAGTGAATACTAATTGTACTTAATCCTAAGATTATTTAATGATTTGATTTATTATTACTAATATTTTTTATTATTTTTTATTATTTCGGATAAATATTTTTATATATTAAACAAATAAGAAAATTGATTAAAAAATTATATTGTTTTTATATGTATTCGAAAATAATTTTATTACAAATATTATAAATAAATAATTATTTATTATTACTAATGAATCATGAATAAAGTACGCATAAAAATTGAAATCTGATTGTGTTAAATAATTATTTAGATCTAAGCTTTACAAGTAACTTAGAGCAAATATCGAATGCTAATTCTTAGCTATTACGGACCTTGAAATTTGCTCTAAAAACTTGTAAAGCTTAGATCTAAATAATTCGAACCATGAAAAAATATCGAATCTTAAATTTTTTTTTTTTTTTTTTTTTACAATAAAATGAGTACTTTTTATAGAACATAAGATAATTTTATTTCATATTTGATTAGTTATTTTGTGTTTAGTGAGATTTTATTTCATCTTATGAACTGCAAATGGTGGTCAGATTCATTATTTAGTTCAACGGTAATAAAATAGAGAGGAATTCTTATAAATAATTATATTTGAGCGATTTTAATTTTCCAATTTATGTTTAGATGGAAAAAGTTTACAATGAAACGTCCGTTTTGAAAAAATTGTACTTATGAGGTTAAGAGGGCTGCATTTTAAAACTTTTTTTTTTTTATCAATTGTTAGTTAATAATTTTATAAAAATAATGACTACAACAATTCTTTTTTTCAAATAAATATTTTATATATTTTATTTGTAATTATTTAAAAATAATGATTATGAAAAAATTTAAATAATATTTTTATGGGAATTTTAGCTTGAATTTTTTTTTTTTTTTTTTTGAAAGTTACCAACACAAATTCTCTTCTTCTTCTTTTTTTTTTTTTTTTTTTTTTTTTTTTTTTTTTTTTTTTTTTTTTTTTTTTTAATTTCTCTTCTTCTTTTCTTTTTTTTTTTTTTTTTTTTTTTTTTTTTTTTTTTTTTTTTTTTTTTTGACAATTCTGTAACCTTATAAGAACATCCATACAAAATGGGAAGAATCAGAAGAGGGACTTTTTTTTTTTTTGTTTTATTGATAATAAAACTATATGCACTGTGCCTTAGGCATTGAGACCAACTTTATGAAACAAGGCATAGAAGCTTTTCAAGGACAATGAAGATTTCGCTTTTTTCCTGCAAGTAAGAACCAATTTGAATACCATATAGGGTAACTCAAAAAAGTTTAGATCATTTTCTGAACTATTGGTTTCGAGTTTACATATCCTTGTCAATGCTATATTTCTGTGTAAATACCTGGTAACTTTGATTCTTCTCCACCTACAGCTTCCGCTTCTCGTCTCTTGCAATTTTTTCCGGCTGCCAAAACCACCATGAAATATAAGAAATTTATTTTAGCTTATATTTTTGTTTTGGCCTATACCCCTCCTTTTATTATGTAAATGAATTTGAAGTACAAAATTTATGCTATCAACTGTATAATCTTTTTTTTTAAAGCATCCTTCCATAATTACATTCTTAATTAGAGTTCATTTTTCTACCAACAAAGGGTCTAAAGTTTTCAAATTGTCAAAATTCAATGGATAACAATAGAGAAAAGTTAATATTAATAACAGAATTGACCTGAATCGGTACTCGCTTTAATCCCTTTTGGCACACCTGGCCAGAATCGTAATAATGTTATATATTACTACCAGGTTCATTTATTGTGTTCAATACCTCATTCAGCCTCGACCCTCTTAGTTCCATTTGCCTAGAGTCGGTTTTTTTGGTGACATGAGTAAGTCATCCTTCTGATTTTGGCAATGTCCATTAAGATTTTTACGTATTAGAGAATACAAATTTGGAGGGAACTTGATAAACTATCTTATTTTGTCTGGGCCTTGTACGTTTTCTTCAGGAGGTCAAATGTACATTGATAGCAATTGCAAGCCGCGGACTCGCTAGAGTAGGACTATTAGTGCATTGCCAGTGGCGTGTTCTGGTTTTTTTTTTTTTTTTTTTTTTTTTTTTTTTTTTTTTTTTTTTTTTTTTGACAATTCTGTAACCTTATAAGAACATCCATACAAAAATGGGAGAATCAGAGAGGACTTTTTTTTTTTTTTGTTTTTATTGATAATAAAACTATATGCACGTGCCTTAGGCAATTGAGACCAACTTTATGAACAAGCATAGAGCTTTTCAAGGACAATGAAGATTTCCATTTTTCCTGCAAGTAAGAACCAATTTGAATACCATATAGGGTAACTCAAAAAAAGTTAGATCATTTTCTGACTATGGTTCGAGTTTACATATCCTTCAATGCCATATTTCTGGTATACTGTAACTTGATTCTCCTCCCACCACAGCTCCGCTTCTCTCTCTGCAAATTTTTTTCGGCTGCAAAACACCATGAAATATAAGAATTATTAGCTAATATTTGTTTTGGCCTAACCCCTCCTTTTATATAAATGAATTTGAAGTACAAAATTTATCTACAACTGATAATCTTTTTTAAGCATTCCATAAAATTCAATAGAGTTCATTTATACCAAACAAAGGTCTAAAGATTTTCATGTCAAACCAATGGAAACATAGAAGAAAGTTAATATTAATAACAGAATTACCTGAATCGGACTCGCTTTAATCCCTTTTGGCCACCTGGCAGAATCGTAAATGTTATATATACACCAGGTTCATATTGTTCAACCCATTCAAGCCTCGACCCTCTAGTTCCATTTTGCCTAGAGTCGGTTTTTGTGACATGAGAATCATCCTCTGATTTGGCAATGTCCATAGATTTTAACGTATTAGAGAATACAATTGGAGAACTTGATAAACTATCTATTTGTCTGGCCTTTGGTACTTTAACTTCAGGAGGCAAATGTAATGAAGCAAATGCAAGCCGCGGACTCGCTAGAGTAGGACTATTAGTGCATGCAGGCGTGTTCGGAGAACTATTCAGATCATTTCCACCTTTTGCTTCTGTTCCAGTAGATATTTTGTCCGACATTGCATGAAGCTGCAAACATTAATTATCAATTAGTGCTTAGTTCAAGACTGTCAAAGCTATACAACATAGCCGAATTTCATTACCCGTAATGCCAAAGCTTTTATAATATCATTAGCTGCTTTGCGCTTGGCTGCTTCCTCTCTGGCTATTGACCAAGTTTTCTCTATAGTTTCTTGGCATTCTTGAATCTTCTGGCTTCGGATTTTAGACTGCATCTCGAGGCTCCTAACCTACATCAAATAAAAAGGAAATCTTCCGAGTATAAGCATTTTTCTTACAGAATAAACTTGAAACATACAAGACAACTAAAATAATAGTAAAAGAATATTGAAGCTGAGAATGCTAAAGAGAAACATTACGAGCAATAGTACAATATCAAACCCAGTTTTTCCATGGAAGAAAAATAAGCATATCAAGAGAGGCCGGAACATAGACAGACAAACATAAAAGCTCTACAGACAGCATGATTTTAGATGAAAGCAACAGCCGAAAATTTTCCATATTTAGTAAATACCATGTAATCTGGACAAATAACTTAAGACAATTTCAAAAACATCTACTCAGAAGAATGGCAAAGTTTTGAGTATTTGACAACAGAAAATAGTAGTCGAAAATGAATTTTTTTCCTTTGCCAACAGAAGTTGGTTAGACATTTTGGGGATAAATTGCAACAGTGACCACTTAACTCAGAATCAAATTATATTATGGTCTTACTTTATTCTTTAAGTTAACCAATCATCAAGGATATCCCTAAAGTTGTTTGTGCCCAACGAAGAAGAGACAATAGCAGCACAATGAAAGCAGAACAATTCATCAGCGAAAGTAACCTGAATTTTGAAGCTAAACCATAAGAAGTTATTACCTCTGCTCCTAGTCTATCAACTTCTTCAGCAAGCTTCTTGTTTGCCTCAAGCATTTCTTCATCCATACTTACACTACTGAAAACAATAGATCTTGAATCTACCAGAGGGAAAGATTTGTTGCTATGGTATGACTCAAAGACAATAGGGCATGAAACTTGCCCCCATCTTGGCAATGGAACTGAAGGGGATACAGTTTCTAAATGATGCAGCTTTTCCCCATGGTTTTTAGGAGTCTTCGCCTGACCAGCTTGGCTATCAAGATTATATGATTGGCTGGCTGACTGTTGATGACTTCCCGGCGTAGTTGCTTCTCCGCAACCCTCTTTCTCATCAGATAATATATTATATGCAGCTAAATGCTGTTTTGGACTGCAATTTTCCTGCTTCAGTATTCTACCAGAAAGTGTAGCCTTCTGCAGATGGTTAAAACAAGAATCGCAGACGCGAGAAGGTTTACTTTTATTTGGAGCCAAAGATGCATTTATAACTTTCTTGCTACTACATGTATGGCAGAAAAGAAGACCACAGTTATAACAGTTATGTTTCTTCCTAGTAAGTCCAAAAGGCATTCTACAACCACTACAAGCTGATTGATCAGTAACAGTAATGGACTTGTGCAAACAAATTACAGCAGTTAAATTTGATCCACAGGCTACACTTTCAACTTTCCTTTCTCTCAAAGCCTCAACTAAAGTTGGCAAGTTCCTATCTTCGACATTTCCTAATCCTAACTGTCCATTTGCACCTTTCCCCCAAGTATATACATTTCCCTCAGCTGTCAAGGCAGCAACATGATATGATCCTGATGATATCTCCTTAACGAATTCTCCTCTTAGCTTACCTTCAACTACAGTGATTGATTTATCCTTCGTCTGTGGATTCCCTAACTGGCCGTGCACTGAGCTTCCAATAGTGTAGACGTTACCAGTATTAGTAAGTGCAACAGTGAGCATTCTTCCACAAGAAACTTGAACAAAATCATACTCCAAAAGTTGTCCAACACATGTTGGTACAAGTCTTTTTTCCATATCAACATGCCCAAGTCTTCCTTTATCACCATCTCCCCATGTAAATAGTTTCCCAGCAACAGCATTAAACTTGAAGCGATCAGCACTAATATCCACAATAGCAGCAGTATGCCATGACCCGCAAGCAACAGATTTTACCCATAAGCCTTTTAGAGATTCAACTTCTTTAGGCTGATAAACACTTTGAAGATTCCCATGCCCAAGAGCACCAAAAGTTCCATCTCCATACGTAAACAACTGCCCAGAGGAAGATATAGTTGCTACGTGCCATTCCCCACAAGCAGCTTTCAATATAGTTATACCATCAAGAGGACCCGAAACTTTATATGGTAACCACTGGCTTCTGGTTGTCCCTTCATCAACTAAATTAGCACCATATGTGTTGTCACCCCATGTATATAGTTCCCCAGAATGTGTAATAGCACATGATTGATATTCACCACAGGCTACAGATTTTATATAAACACCTTCCAAAGATTCAACAACTCTTGGATAGCTCACATCCATGTTAACTTTATGTCCAAGCTTTCCACCACTTCCTTCACCCCAGCAGAACACTTCACCTCTTTTGGTGATTAATGCAGCATGTTTCCTTCCTAAGGATATATTTCGAACATCAAGCATCACAGTAGATTCCAATAATTTTGGCATTAATGCATCAACTTGCGTCCCACTCTGGTTACTGAGCCGCTGAACCATCCCTCCTATGTTTCCTCCTTCCACACCTTCCCCCCAGATCAGAATATCCCTTAGGATGTCATTATTTTCTATCTGTGGAGATCCATAAGTTGGAGCAACAAACCTATGGGACATATCTTTTCCACATTTCTTGAGATTTGGTCCAATGTATGGTGACTTTGGAACTAACACATCCACCGCATTCTGCACCGGTGGAAGACTTGATTCTGAGAAACAAAAGCTATCAGAAGAATCAGAAAAGCACCTCTTGGAAAGTGACTGAGTAGGACTTCCACATAAGCTGCGCACCTTCAAGATATTAAACAAAAAAAAAAAAAAAAAAATCAAACTATTTCATAATAAGTAACTTGTAAAAACATCAGCGGCAGTGAAAAATAAAAACATAAATAAGGTGGTTGATGAAGCATTTATGACTCAACACTAAACAAAAAGGAAAAGCATTTATCTAAGTCAAACAATAGTCCACCGCTTAAAAAATTGCATAAACTGATATTAAATATTTTATCTCTATTAAGGATCTACAAAAGTAAGATATTTAAAACCTGAGAAAAATCAGTGGGATCCTCCAGAATTCCCAAATTATGCTTTCTTCTTATATAACCAGCTGGACTGTTGACACAACTTTGTGCTGCTCTGTGGTTCCTGAGACCGGTAAAAGGCCGAGAATGGTGAGACCTTGATACCACAGCTTTTAAGCCTATAAACCAAGAATCAGCCTGCGCTTTGTCCTTGCATATCTATGTTAAAGATAACAATAGAAAAATAACAAAACCATTAATCTTTGATGAAGAAATGAAAAATGAAAGGTTATATAACATGCAAGATTGCTCAAATGTGCACAAAAAAAACATTCAATATAAGTTACCAAATCCAGTGAGCGTTCACCGTTAGCATAAATTAGTGAAAATGACTGATGCTCCTTATCTGGTTGAGGTTGCCTTCGAAAATTTATCTGTGACAAGTGGAATTGACATTTCAAGTCATTAACAAAATCAATAAAAAAAATGCATTAAAAATTTAATTTAATACTAAAAAAGATCCTTAGTTTACGTACAGTCTTCTGGCCAGTACTAATCTTCATAACTGAGCTTAATTTCAATTGCTTTTCCTGCTGTCCAGAATACCATATCAAATATTTCTCATCCTGAAAAATAAAATCAAATTAAACATTTCCTTTTTGATAACAAAACAGCAAAAAGAAATCAAAAAAACGGCAATTGACACTCAATTAAGACAATCTACTTTCATGTTCAACCTGAAATTTGGAACAAAAGTTGCAATAACTACAGTCAAATCAATATCTTTATACATTAAAGGGCACAAAATTCAACAGCAGTAATCAAATAATTATGTCCATAGGACTAATTATTAGCTCCAAAAATGTAAATTCAGACCCAGTTAATTTCCAGGAGATATCAGAAGTTTTTTCAGAGAAGCATACTAAGCATGGACCACTTAAGACAATAATGAAAGCTAAAGAAGATGAACAGAAGCCTGTAATTAATTTCTCACATATGTTATCATAAATTGTTTTCTTTATTTTGTCTATTTTTTGAATTTAAATTTAGCTACCGTAGACAGCCTAAAAGGACAGAATTTGGGCTTCCCTCTTCTTCCATACTTCAAAAGGTAGGCACCTTTCTTCAAAGCCAAAATTGCCTGCAAAGCCATTAAACATAAATTTAGCAAGTCTCCCATGAAAACCATATAATGAAATGAATAAATAAATGACAAATATAGAAGAAAGGAAAAAAGAAAACTTTACTGACCAAGAACTAAATCAAAGTGACAACTGAAACTCTGAACTTAGAAAGAAATCCAATATAAAAGAAAACATGAAAATTATATTACATTAACAAAAAACTGAATTATAAGAAGCATCTCAAATAGAAAATAAGAAACACTAAGAGGATCCTATTAGAAAACACAATGTCAGTGTTTAAATTTATTCATTAAAAGAAAGAAGAACATAAAACAACAAACTAAAAATGATCTTGAAAAAGTTACTTACTTTTCATCAGAATAAATAAAACCCAACAAAGCAAAGTTCACTTAGAATTTCTATTTTAAAAAAGTTAAAGTATAAGAAAGTGATTGATCACTCAATTTACACTAACAAGAAGTACATTGATAACCCAGAAAAATGAAAACGAATAAACAAACAAGAAAACACTTCAAGAGAAAACAGAACAAAAATGCAAGAGAAATATATGCGCAGACGGAGAGAGAGACCTGTTCAATAGTTCTGTCGAAGGGCACTACTTGTAAAGATTCTTCAACCATTTTTGGCTTCAAGCAAGAAACATTGCAGAGAGGGAGAGAGAGAATATTTGAGTGAAGACTGAGGAGACAAAGAAAGCAGAATGAGAAGGAGGGTGGTATCCTAAAAGGGAACCTCAAGTAACTGTTACACAAGAATTTGTACGACGGGGAGAAAGAGCGAGAGAATTGAAACTAAAACAAGAATGGCTTCTCTGCTCTGCTGCAGAGTACTTCTGCAATAACAAGTACTGCTATATGCAATAAAATATAAAGGGGTTTCCTTTTCTTTTATTGTATTTTTTTTTTTTTTTTTTGGTTTACTCTATTTAATGATTTCCTCTTCTTGGGTTCTCTTCTCTCTTTCTTATGAATCTGTTTCTTCTTCCATTACTGTTTTCGCTCACCTTGTAAGTCGTGTACACAGAGAAATTAGAGGACAGGGACAGACATAAAAGAGGTTTAATAAGCAAACTAAACCCATGTGCACGTGTACACAAGAACACGAGAGGTTTTATTTTATTTTTTTAATGTATTCTTTTCTTTTCATAATTATTGTTTGAGGTATTTTCTTAAAAGAATTTTTTTAATTTCAGAAATTTTTTTAGTAAACAAATAATGTTTAAGATTGAGGTACATATTTAAATTTAATTAATACTAATAATAGTATATTTCTTTATTCAGATGCAGATCAAATATGGGTAACGTATGAAATTATAAAGATTATTATTATCTTCTAAAAAAGGAAATAAAATCATAAGTTCAAACAAATATAGATAGAAGAGGGTATTACATTTTAAAAAATAGACATTCAAGTATTAAATTTTTTTGTTCGATTTGATTTAGGTTAAAAAAAATTAAAATTAAAATAATTAAATTTTTTATCAAAAACCAAACTAATCATATTTCTATATTATCGAACCAAATCTGGTTTATTATTTTTAGTTTTTAATTTAGCTAAAAAATTATTTTTGACCTGAAACGAGTTGAGATAATAGAATCAAAATAACCAAAATAAAGTAATAGAATTTTCCGGTTCAATTTAGTTGAATCCCATCTAAACCAAAATAAGTGAAAATTAAGAATTTTAGAAATCCAACCCAACCAAATTTCCAAACAATCAAGCTAAATTTCTGGATTAAAATGGTTCGATTCGATTTGTGGATCAAAACCAAATAGTCGTCAGTCAGATTTTTGTCCTTTCCTTTGTCTCTTATTGTTTTCTTTTACTTGTTTTTTTATCAGTTACAGTAATGATACTGCTAGTGGTTAGTTAGAAAAGAGAAAAAAAATAAAAAAGAAAACAACAAGGGAATAGTCCATTAATTTTGGATAATTGAAATTTTAATTAGCATTGATTAAGGAATATAAAGCATAATTAGAGGAGTAGAGGTGGATGCATTAATTGTTGAATGCAGTTGAAATTCCTTATATCGTTACTCCATTATTTTTAAATAAGAACAACTAATTTTTCATCAAGATTAAGAAAGTAGTTTAACCAACTTTTTTATCATTTTTTCCTAATTTACCCCTAATATATCATTTATTCCTCCTCTAATATTAATACTTGCCTTAAATTATGTTTCAAGTTTTAATGAGGTTTAAATGTTTTGTTGGAATGAAGGGAATAGAAATTTTTAAATTTAGCATTGGATTAAGGAATATAAAGCATAATTAGAGGAGGTAGAGGTGGATTGCATTATTGTTGAATGCAGTTGAAAATTCCTTTATATCGTTACCCATTTTTTTAAATAAGAGCAACTAATTTTTCATCAAAATTTTTCATCAAGATTAAGAAAGTAGTTTAACCAATTATTTTTTATTTATTTTTTTTTAATTTACCCTTAATATATCATTTATTCCTCCTCTAATATTAATACTTGCCTTAAATTATGTTTCAAGTTTTAATGAGGTTTAAATGTTTTGTTGGAATGAAGGGAATACAAACAATTGCAAAAATGAAATTTACGTTCGAACTGCGGAAAGAAATTCATTTTTTGTCATTTATTGAGAAAGTTGTATGAAAATATGAAAATCTTTGTTCATTTAATTTTTCAACTGCCTTTAATTATTAAAAATATATTTTAAATATTGCGCAATTTTTTAAATATTCGGCACAATCCGTAAGAATTTTTTTCAATGTGGTCAACTTGAAAATTTTGTGTTCTCTTTCCATTCAAACTCCATTTTAATTAGTGCTCATATAACCTATATGAGCACATTTGTTTTACAATGGAGATTGATGTAAAAAAATCCATTCTCCAAAATTTATTCACATTAAATGTTGATGTAAAAAAATCCATTCTCCAAAATTTATTCACATTAAATGTTCATTTAATGTGAATAAATTTGTTTGTCACTATCTTGAGAATCTCTCACACTAAAAGCTTCACAAATGATTAAAACAAGAATAATATAGACTTTTCACATTAGCATATAAATTTTTCACATTAGCATTGTTCTCAGAGTTACTGAATTAGACAAAATTTTATATATAAAAAGAGCACCTAAAATGGAAATTTTTATATAACGGAAGAAGTATTTATGTGCATTGAATAATTTTGGTTCAACAATTAAGCCACCTAATAACCAATTAACTTTGCTATTGGCTCTTCAAATTCTTTTCACCTTCTTCTCTTTCCACTTCTGTCCTTTTTATTAACAATAAGAGAGAGAGATAAAAATGTTTGATGTAAGTAACAAATGAATTTTATTATCTTATACTATCAAACAATAAAATTATGATATTATAACACGTTATATTAGCAAACTATTTAATACATGGAAAAAATTTTATTTTTTTGAAAAACATTAAAAGAAAAATAATCATAAAATTAATTATATGCTTATAAATTTTAATAAAAGTAAAAAAAAAAAAACCAAAATTATAAATGATGCTCTAAAATAATGATTATTATATTACTATCTTCATTCCATGATACTTGTCACATTTGAAAAAATAATACTATTCTTCATTTCGCTATGATACTATGTCAATTTGAAAAAAATAGTTTGTTCGCAAAATAATTGTCACGAGTCTGATAGTTTTTTTAAAGGGAGTTAATAAATATTTTTTTTTGTGTGCTAATATTAGTCGGCACTTTGTATAATGACTAATAATTATTAACTTTTCAATTAATTATTTTCTTAGACGAAATTTATGTATTCAATTTAATGATTTTCTTTAGAGGAATTAGTATTAAATTAAGGATAATATTAGTCAACATACTTCCAAATAATTTATTGTAATTTAGATAAATTATAAATTATTTATATTCAAAGGACGTGAAATTTTAAAAGTTGTGGCAAGTTATTATTGGATAGAGAAAAAAAAAAAACCAAAATTATAAATGATGCTCTAAAATAATGATTATTATATTACTATCTTCATTCCATGATACTTGTCACATTTGAAAAAATAGTTTGTTCCAAAATAATTGTCACATCTGTAGTTTTAAGGAGTAATAAATATTTTTTTTCATATTTATCCTTTGTATATGACTAATAATTATTACTTCAATTTAATGATTTTCTTAGAGAATTAGTATTAATTTAATGATTTTCTTAGAGAATTAGTATTAAATTAAGGATAATATAGTCAACATACTCAATAATTTATTGTAATTTAGATAAATTTAATTATTTTCTCAAGGGACGTGAAATTTTAAATGTGGCAAGTATTATGGAATAGAAGTAGTAATTATTATAAGAGCCATATATCTATAATCCTTACTTTGAGAAAATTTGTTATTTTTTATTTTATTATTTCATAAATTTTTTTTTCTTTTTTGTGAATGCTCTTAGAAGCCCAACCAATGAAAATAAACCAAATAGTTTATTCTAAAATACTTGTCATATTTGTGGTTTCAAGGAGTATTATTTTTTTTATGTTTACCTTTTGTATATGACCAATAATTATTACTTTAATTTGATAATTTTCTTAGAAAATTAATGTTAAATTAAGGATAATATAGTCAATTTAATCAATAATTTATTATAAATTAAGTAAATTAATGATTTTCTCAATGAACATGAAATTTGACAAGTATTATGTAACAGAGGTTTAATGTTTATTTATATATAGTTTGATTTTAAAAACAGCATTGGATTCATTCCTAGGATATTCTATTCCCAGTTATTCCGACAACAGCTTCTCTAACAACCGATTTTCAAAGAACCGATTCTTTAGCGGCCTCAATTTTATTCGGTTTTTATAAAAGTTAGACCAAATTGAATCCACATGGACCTGATTCCATACTGAAATTGAAGCTCAGTCACGTGATTGTTTGTAGTGCATATAATTTTTTTTTCTTTTTTGGCAATTGATAAATTTCTACTATATTTCCTTAATAAATTGAAAACTTATGTATTACATTTAATTTATTTTTATTATAAGATTATTATTATTTTTTCAACTATTTTCCACATTAAGAAGGACTTCCATAACATTTCAAAAAAAGAAAAAGGACATTCATATGATCTTTTAAATATATTGACACTTGTCCAATTATAAAATTTTTAATTCATTCATTTGAAATTTTTCATAACCATAATTTTTAGTATTTTAAAATTAATTTGCATTAATATATAAATTTGCTATATCTTTTTTGGAATCTTGTCATGATAAAGAATTTTTATAAAATAAAACAAGTTTAAATAGTAACTATTATTCATATCCAAATAGCAATTATTTGAAAAATCGAAGTTTAAATATAAGGCTATGTTTACAAAAGTTAAAAAATTTTGGAAATTGTTATTTATATTTAAAAATAAAAATGTGGCTAAAATGAGAAGAGGCTTAAACTCTACAGATGGCCATAATAAAGCGACAAGGTCAAGATCTGTTTCTCCCTTCCAAGAATCGGAACATATCTGAATATTGTAGTTTGTTTTTTAAATACTTCGTCAGAGTATTTGTAGTTTGCTTTTCCACGGTATTTGTCCAGTAGCTTCGTGTGTTTGTATTATTCTTTAGAATTTGAAGGCATGTATTATTATTATTATTATTTTTGTTTTAACCATTTAATATCTAAAATTCACTAACCCGATTAATTCAAATTCGAGCCAAACAGACCTATGAAGGTAGACAAAGCAGACCTATGAAGGTGGACAAAGCGCTGCCTTTTAAATCGGCTCCAGCTCAAGACCTGTAATTAAAGAAGAGATTTTTATCATCCATTTTACCTCCTCAAAATATGTTCAAAGGGAACATGTTTACTAGAAAATCCATGTGAGAAACTGAACTGAGGAGATAGAAATACCAAATAGTCGTATAATGTATAGTGTCACATAGACACTAGAGGACCAATGACCCAAAAATTGTTGCAAACAGAAAATGCAAGACAGCAACCCAGAGAGTTGCTTCTGATGTCAAAACTTGTTTTTTATAGCAGATTTATCGAACTGA